AGTGTTCTTGTTTTTCTCTTGGGGATGATTAATTCTTGGGTTTGAATTTATAGGGCGAGAAAGATGATTGAGAAAGTGAAGTTCAAGACGACATTTTGTTCTGTTATTATTCTGCCTAAAGTAGGTTTTTAATTAACTACTTGTGTCTTTATCAAGATCATACATATTACCTAATTTGAGTTATTTTTATGGTCCTAATTATTTTAAATTCTGGATGTTTAATACTCTCTCCTACAAAATTTTCTCTTTTCTTTTTTCATCTCTCTTAATTAAAAAGCATTTTTCATTTCTATTAAAAAGATATTTTACCTATATTAATTTTTAACCTACCTATCATATCACATTTATTCAATATTAATCTACCTATTAAATTCTATTTTTGGCCATCACATCTAAGAATATTTTTTGAAACTCAACTACAAAATATACTTCTTTTAAATTCCTTAAAAATCACAATCTTTCATGTTATTAGGGACGGAAGGAGTGCGTATAATTGGATTTTTGAAAATTAATAATACGCGCTTTGGGGCAGTACTCTCCTCGATCCATACACAATATTTTTTCTAGTCTCAAATTCACATTTGACCTTTTGGATCAAATTTCATATACTTTGATTAAAATTTGTGTATATTCAATAATTAGTACTCTCTTTGTCTCATTTTAAAGAATTTGTTTCGGCTTAGATGTTTGAATAAGGTCTATTTCAACTCAATTTGTATTAGAATTGGGGTGGGTTATAAAATAAAATTTACATACTCGTATTTAAAAACTATATCAAAAAACTTTTCAAAACAAGTGGTGACATGACTATATTTTTATCAAATGACTACCAAGAATTAATAAAGAAAGTGAATCAAGTTTCATTTTGAGAATAATAAACATGTAATTTAATTTGGAACGGATAGAGTACTATATAATAGATGGTTTTTCATATTTTATCTTCTATTAATAAATAATATATTCTTTAATTATCTTTTGTTACTCTTCAATTCCATATACCCGACCCGTACGTAGTATATGTTAAAATGCATGAGTTCAACTTTTTTGAATAGTTAGTGTTAACTCATAGTTTTGATAATTGATTAACACAAGTTATTCAAATCAAGAATAAAGTACTATATTGGAAACCACAAAGACTTGAACTTCTAAATCCCTTAATATAAGTATTCAAGAAGGAGCACAAGATTTAATGATGATCAAGACGCCTAACGGAGCGCCTTACAGAAATGAAGAAAAAGATTTTTGAAGACTTTTAATTTATTTGAATCTAAGAAAATATTGTAAGGATGACAAAAATCTTCTTCACACCAAAATTATTTTTATGAGAATTATATAAAAATTATACTTATTTTGGAGTCAGTTGAAAAATCTTTTTTTACTGTTCAAAAATACTTTTATTGAGTCAATTACAAAAGGTGTGTCAAACATTTATCAAAATATTTGTTTTGATATTAGAAAATATTTTTGGTAAGCAAAAATATTTTATTCAAATATTTTTGAAAATCGTTTGATACACAAAATATTTTTTTCAGACTTACTTTTGCACCCCAACTAAGTTCAAATTCATATTTTGAATTTAGATTCATCATTAGGTAATTGAAACATGTATTCAATGTCTTTTACACATAGGAGACATGAATATATGTCCCTTGACTCATTACCCTCATGCACATGTTCTTTGATATCTTGTATCTGAGTTCTTGCTCCAGAAATCGATTTTCTAAAGGGAAAATTGATTTTTCCCTACTACAATTCATCAGTCCAGGGATAGCAGTATAAAAGTCGATTTTTATACTTAAAAGGTCGTTTTTTAATTGTATTTTCAACATCCACTTCTTTTCTTGATCCAACGGACATATTCTTTTTACCCTATTTGAATTACTCTTCCTTAGTCGTTTTAAGATATGAGAAACACTCTAAAAACACTCTATCCTTGTGGTCTTCATCTGCATTAATGTCTCATAGTTGAGTAATGAGAAACTATCTGAGCACTCTTGGCTTCTGTCAAATATGCATGGGTCTAATATGGGCCTATATAACAGTTGTCGTGTATCCCCTTTATTAAAACATGGATTATTGATATTGGGGATACAAACCATATGAATGGAGACATACATAGCTTATTTGATATGCATGATATACCCGGTCGTTAGATTAGATTATTGGACAAAAAACATGTAGATGTATTTACAATCTGAAAAGTTTGTCTCAATAGTACTATGGTTTTGAAAAATGTGTTATTTGTATCTGATTTTAGTTTTTCATTGCTCTTTGTCTCTCAGCTGATAATAGAGACTAATTGGTTGGTTAACTTCAAAGGATCACTGTGTGTTACACAACTATGCCACGATACATGTGATTGATCTGGGTGGGCAAATTGATGGTCTATACTATTTTCAACAAATAAATGACGAAAGTGTTTGGATATGTAATTCTCAATAACTAATGTTATGTAATTCCCAACGCTAGGCCAATGTCTCATCGTAATTGATTTTGTTTGCATATGTAATTCTAAATAACTAGTGTTATGCATTTATGAATGGAAAGTTAAATGCTTAACATAGTTTACATAGAAGAACTCTAGGACTGACCATGATTGAATAAATACAAGTTATGCCATAAGTATAAAGAGGTTAGAGTCATGTGGTATATATTGATCATGTGACATTTGTTTCTTTGCTACACGTAGGTAACCCAGATCAAAATGAACTTGGAACCAATCTCGGAGGGCGATGAGGACAAAGAGATGTGCACGGAAATTTTTGAAGACTTGGAATGAGTATTTATTTCCAAATGACTTATTACTTTTATAGGCTTGATTCCAAAGACCAAAGGTTTGTTTTAAATGATGACCTAAGATTTTACATTACTTTTAATTACTCCGATGAATGTTTAAATTATATTTTAAGCTTATCTATTATAAATTGTTTTGAAAATGAGTTATGTTTGAGTACTAATTTAAGAGCAAATCGGTTCATTGACCTGTGTATTCGGGTTATGCGGGTTGGGATGTTACATTTCTAGTATGGAAGTGTCACGCAATTCTTTAGGTATTTTTCTTACTCCATGCAAGTATTCTTTAGACATCATTATTAAGATAAGGTTGCACGGTGGAGCCTAATCACATATCAGTCGGAGCTTAATAATAGGCTTGTCCTGGTTATCGATCGTTGGGCGCTTCGTTAAAGACTAATCACAAGCTTGCCCTTGCTTTTGATCCTTTGCTCGACGATATAGGCTCATATCGTCGCTTGGATGGATGTTTGGTTTTCTTGTATGTTACTCGACCTAACCTATATTATGTAGTCCATATACTGCTTAGTTCTTGCCAAAGCCTTTCAGTGGAGCATTGGAATGCCAGATATGGTGTTTTTCGCTACCTAAAAAGGATGCTTGGGCATTAAATTTTGTTACACATGATAATTCGCTTCAGTTGACGATGTGGTGTGATTCTAGATTGAGCTACTGGCCCGCTCACTTATCGCTCTCTAACATGTTGGTCTATTCAGTTATGTGTTTCTCCTATTTCATGGAAGATAAAAAACAACCTACGATGGCTCCATTATCTACCAAAGCTTAATATCATTCTATGGTTTTTGTCACATGTGAACTCACTTGGCATGCCACTTTCTTCTTTGATGTAGGTATACTATATATGATAGTGTCATTGCTCTCCATATTGATGTAAATCATGTTTTCCATGAGCGCACTAAGCTTATTGAGATTGATTGTTACTTTGTTCAAGATGAGTTATTTCATGGTGTCATTTACACGCATCATGTTTCCATAACAAATTAGTGTGCTGATATGAATGTTCTCAAGAAGGTCCAAGGCAACTGGCATTTTAATTTTCTTCTTCCCAAGTTGGGCATTTTTACATGCTTCAACTTGAGGATAGTGTTAAGGAAAGTATTATATTGGGACTATAATTTATTATTGTGATTTTCATTCCTTAGATAATCTTCATAGCTATTAGTATTTGTTTCCTTGTATAGTTGGTTTTCCTTTGAGAGTTCTTGTTTATGCGTAAGTTCTCATATATAATTGATATATTTGTATAGAATTCTTGGAGAAATACAAGACAAGTATCTCCAAAATTCTTTCACATTCCGGTCCAATCTGGTTTCATACTAATTCTTTCCATTCCAGACTGACAGACCAAGTAAAAATTTGAAAACTTGATTCTGAATTTAGCATAATATATAGTCTTCATAAGTTAACGATAATACAAGTCAAATCTTACAAGGCAAGTCCCAAACATCGAATACATTAATACGTAGGAGCAAAATTACTCTGTATTTAAAAAATACTTTGGGTAATAATTTTTTTGTTAAGATTAATGTCTAGAAAATTAATTCGAGATGCCTTCGGTTTTCATACAATAATTCACTTAACCTACGTACATTACCTGAAATATTTTTCAGGATACCTTCAATCCTTTAAATTTGTGATATTATACTCCGAGAGTATATTTCATCCATTTAGGTGTTAGGATTAAAAAATTCTTTTACTTTAACTAATTGAAACATTTTTTTAAAAATAATTAATAAAATAGAAATTATAATGATAAAATTTAATATTTGTCAAAGTAATAGAACTTTCAATTTTAACGGCGAGTGACAAAAAAGTACACTCAAAGTACATTACTATAAATTTTAAAGATTCTTGGAGTTCATTTCAAATAATGTGGACTGGAAAGTTTTTAGCAAAAAAAAATCAAAAATAACTCAAAATATTTTTAAAATTATGTAAAACTTAAAAACTTTTAATAGAAAATTAAGGGTACTTTTTCTCATTAGTGTCAAACGCTCTCTTCTAATATCCGAGTCCGCACCCGCAATCCTGAATGTGGTGATTGCATCCTGTGCAATTCGGAATCGGACCGAGCCCGGTTCGAAGATTATTACACTAATAATAAAAAAAGAAAAAGAATTAGGAAACGGGGCGTATGGAAATCCTTCCGCTTGAATATAAAACTTTCCAAATAGGAAATGAAGCAGAGAAAAGAGGGCAGATAGAGGAGGAAGAAGAAAAGGCCCTCCCATTTTAGTACTCACAGTACTGCCTCCTCTATCCGGATCTTAGCAGTTTTTGTTCGATCGACAACTTGTTGATCTGGGTATTGAATTTCATTTCATTTCACATTTTTATATAAATCTACAAGATCATACTTCATTGGATTGTGTGGTTTGTTACTCATGAGACATGATTGAGTGGTGATGAGCCCATTGAATCGATTTCCAGAAATCCGAAAGAATTATATCTCCTTGTTTTTTTCGGCACATCTATGGATCCCAATCTAGATTGATCATCTTAAGATCTGATGATGTTGTATCACCACTATGCGGAATCTATTTAACATCTTGTCGTTTCTTATCTTATTTATGTAGTTGATAAATCTGATGCTTTCTTCTTGATATTAAAGATTCGATTTTTAACGATTGATTGATCCTTAGTTCTCCGTTTGCCTTTCTGTTATTTTTCAAGTAACAAACATCGGTGGGTTTATTTATTTTTGTGAGTTTAGTAATGGGATTCATTTGTTGGGCAGTAAAATGCAATCTGATCTTGGGAAGTTATTCATCGGTGGAATTTCCTGGGATACAACTGAAGAGCATCTGAAGGAGTATTTCAGTGCTTATGGGGAGGTTTTGGAAGCTGTGATTATGAAGGATAGGACAACTGGGCGTGCCCGTGGTTTCGGTTTTATAGTGTTTAGTGATCCCACTGTTGCTGACAGAGTTATCAAGGAGAAACACAACATTGATGGCAGGATGGTAAGCACTGTTCACTCATTAGTGTTCCTTGATTGAAAGCATAGCACATTCTGTTTGTTTGATCTCTAGATTAAATGAATGAAATCATTTCTGCATAATCTAATCTTGCAAGATGGTAGTATTTCCTCGCCAAGCTTACAAGTCTTGCTCCTAAACTCAAATGTGATTTGAATTCCACAATTGCTTGAAGTTGAGGAACTTGGTGTTTGTTTCTGATGTTATCATGCAGGTTGAAGCCAAGAAAGCAGTTCCTAGGGATGACCAGAGCACGATGAGCCGAAGCAGTAGCAGCATTCAAGGATCTCCCGGTCCAAGGCGCACAAGGAAGATTTTTGTTGGTGGATTAGCGTCCACGGTCACAGAGAGTGACTTCAAGAAGTATTTTGAACAGTTTGGGACGATAACGGACGTGGTGGTAATGTATGATCACAACACTCAGAGGCCAAGAGGCTTTGGATTCATAACTTATGACTCCGAGGATGCAGTGGACAAAGTCTTGCTGAAGACTTTTCATGAACTGAATGGTAAAATGGTTGAGGTCAAGCGTGCAGTTCCTAAGGAGTTATCTCCTGCTCCTACTACCCGAAGCCCACTTGGGGGTGGATACAGCTATGGATTGAGCAGGATTGACAATTTACTCAATGGGTATTCACAAACTTACTCACCGAGTGCAGTTGGAGGAGGGTATGGACTCAGGATGGACAGTAGGTTCAGCCCTATACTCGGGGGTAGAAGCAACTATGCTCCGTTTGGCTCTGGTTATGGAGTGGGCCTCAACTTTGAGCCCGGATTGAGCCCAGGGTATGGAGGAAGTGCAAATTTCAACACTAGTTTGACCTACGGACGCGGACCTTATTATGCTAATAATAATAATAATAATAACAACAACAACACAAGTAGGTTCGGCAGTCTAATGGGGCTTGATGGAGGGAATGGAGGAAACTCTTCCTTTTTCAGCTCAACTAGGAGTCTGTGGGGTAATGGAGGGTCAAACTACGACATTAACCCCATAAGCTCAAACAATTTGGGTGGGTCCGGGAACGGAAGCCTTAGTGGGGGATTGCTTAACAACAACAGCAACAACAACAGAGGAGTTTGGGGTTCATCTGCCATTTCTGTGCAGCAGGGTGGAAGGAATGTTTCTGGCCAAAGTGGGAATCTTGGTTATGGAGGTGCTAATAATAGTTTTTATGGTTTAACTGGAGGGACACCTGGTAGAAACTTTGCAGGCAATGATAGGTCTTTTGCTGAGTTTTATGACAATGACTTCAAGTACGCCGATCCTACTTGGGGCGAGCGTGACACATCCTTTGCTTATCTTACTGGTGGCAACACATCCTCTGAGATCCCCCCTCACAGCTCTGCAGGTTCTGTCAGTAGTAATGGTGTTACAAATAGACAAAATTATCGAGGTAAGCTTCTTCCAATTAAACCTCTAAACTTTTCGTATTTACACATCCATTCTTGATTCATGCTTGTTCCTTCTTTTTATACTTCCATATCATATCAATAAGGGTGTTTGATTATGTTCAGAAAAAAAGGGTTATTTTTTAATCATGTTGTGCCCTCTCAATTAAATGATGATAAACAACTTAGTATCATGTTGTCTCAAATTAAGATTTAAGTAGAGCAGCCTTTAGATTAAATAAAGAAACTTTGAGGCTCAATGATCATCAACTCTTTCTTATTTAGAATGCCCTTAAATGTTGGCTTTAGGCTTGAGAGTGATTAAATATACTCCCTTTGTCCCATAAAAAGGGTCATCTTACTTAAAAAATGGAGGTACATTTAGGCCATGCTATTTTGGATTGGAAAAATTGACTTGTAACTTTTTCCAACTCCTTCAAGTTTCTTCCAACTTTTTCCACTTTCTTCCAACAACGAATTAAAAAAAGTATTTACACATGATGAATATACAATTACATTATATATCCAAATTTATAACATACCACCTTAAACACGGGCAAGGATGAATTCTTTTTTGTCCAAAATTAGAGTTTTCTTACACTTTAATTCTTCCAACATTTTCAAATTTTCAGTTTCTTTCAACATCTAACTCTGAAATTCCAACCCAAAAGAACAGGGTTTTAGTGCTTTACGGAGTATAAGAGATGTACCATACTTAAATAGTAAGATTGACAAGTTGTACACTCATCAAAGTGGACTCTACTTATGGGAGGGAGGCAGTAATTTTTTTTCTTCATTTGATGTCCTCTAACAACATGCTTCACTCAGATAATACTTGGAGTTTTAACCTTCTGTTAAATTTTCCTTTTGACCTGCAGGCATTGGCGGTTAGGTAAATTTTGCAAACCGGGTTTTGATGCTTGTCAAGGCTTGTTGTAGCAGTGAAACCATGCATGAATTTTGCATTACTCTTCCATAGCATATTTGAATTTGAGTGTTGAAATAGTTGGAAATCATTTCCAGGAGCTGACTAGAGAGAGTTTTTATTTTTCTTTTTCTTTATTTTGGTTATATTTTGTGTTAAGTAGTTGAGTATTTCCCTTAGGATTTCCATTTTTGTCTTAAGAGCGAGTGAGGTGTAAACTCAGACGGCGGCGTATAGTCAGAAATGTATCTTTGCATCTCCGGTGAGACGGCGGGTCCCAATACTTAAGAAACACTTAGACTAGAAAAATTTCTGGTTTTAAATTTTAGAGTTTGTGCTTTTTTTTTTTCCTCTGTAATGACTGCAAATTTTGCAGTTTCATCTTAGATTTTCTTATTGCCTTAAAATGTAGGCTTTCATTTGAAGGTATGTATGGGAGGTTAGTTCTTGATCTGGTGATTCCCACATAGGGTTCCCCATGAATAAATGTCAAAACTTAATGCTTCCCCTTTGTGTACTTTAATACTTTCTACATAAATTTCTTCTTCTTTTACTGTCTTTTCTTGAACTATTAACTTTATTGTAATGTATTGCTGTAGGAGTATTTGTTTATGCATACCTTTTTAATCTACTGAAGTACAAAGAGGTAATATTTCCATTATGGTTTGATTCTATGACCTTTCATTTCATAGAGTTAAAGCTATGTCGTTTGACCACAAAGTCTTAGGCCATTAGTTGTTATTTTGTTATGATAAGTACATGAGAAAATCAATGTCACCCCATGATTGAAGGTTCGCCGGCGAAATGGGGTGCGGCAGGGGGACATTGTCAAAGACAGAGTCCCCAGCCTGCCACACCTGATTCACTACGCTCCCGTTCCTCAACGGCCCGACCGTCGCAAAAATCACCATTTCTCCGGCGGCGTACTCCGCCGACAACCCGGAGACGCGGAACGAGACTCTGGCGGGCCCGAGGGACGGGTCGTAGCTCGTTATGGAGGTGGTGTAGGCCGTCATGGTGCCGTTGGCGGCGCGGAAGGCGACGAGTGCCTGGGTGCCGACCATGCCCGTCTCGAAAGGGTTGATGCCCCACGCAACCCACCCTTGCGGCGCCTGTTTTGCCCGGTAGGCGATCGTGACTTTTCCGGTGGACGGGGCGTAGGTCCAGTGCAGGTGGGCGTCTAGGTAGGGAAGGTCGGTGCACGAGCTGAAGGTCCGGTTCGAGCGGAAGGCGTAGGTGGAGCAATTTTCGGAGGAGACGGCGGCGGAAAGGGAGGAGGAGGTTAGAATTGCGGCGGCGAGGAGGAATAGGAGGCGGCGTAGTTGTGATGGTGGTATTGAAGACATTTGCAAGCCAGGATTAACGTTGTGGGAATAGGTCAGTTTTTATAGTACTCCAAAACCATGCATACAAGATGAGTTTTTTTTGGGTGAAACAGTTAGAGGAGTTCTATCGCACCCTTTTTCTACTCAAGACCAGCTATTCCACATTTCCACGCAGTACACATTTCCTTTTCTTTTTTAAAAAAATTAATTTCTCTTCCCAAATAAATTTGATTACTTTAGCCAAAGACCTTGTGGTCCAGCAACATGATATGACTCTCTCTGGAGAGAGGTCACTACACGTTCGACTTTCAGTGAAAGTAATAATTTTAGGTGCTTAATGAGTTAAGAATATATGAACAGATATTACATTATAATTTATAATATAGTTATTCATATTAAAAAAATTGATGACTTTAATGGCACATAGATTAAAAAATATTTACAATTTTCTTTAAACAAGACAAACTTTGATCAATAATTTAATAAAAATTGTAATTTGTATTATTCCATAGATATTACTCTGTAGTACAAAATTGATTTTTTTTTAGATTTATCTTGCGAAATACGAGTACTATTTAATTCTATTAATATGCAATACATATCTATTGTAATTGATGATTATAGTTTGCTTAGTTTACTCAATAAAGACATATAAACACTACAGAGGAAGTAGTTAAAACTTGTTTCCAATAAAGAATAATTTTTTGGACTACACAGTCTTTATCTAAAAAGGGAAAGAATAGTGTCCAAGTGATGCTGGACATTTAGTTGAATAATGACTAATAGATAATGACCATGGTCATAAATTGGGAAATAAAAACATATGGTTCTATATTGAGAAAATCATTATGTTTTAGTCCTACTTAGGTAAATTATCCTAAATTATACTCCTAGGTAGTGGAAATGAGTGTAACGCTCTCTGCGTCTAACACGTGTTTAACATCGTTATAACGTTAAATACCACCCCTTGCTGGGTTGTAAGGGCAGTAGATGGCATGCGTAGCCAATCGGATGAAAGAAGGCTAAATCAAACGGGTCGGGCTCTGTTTCCTCTCACGACGATATCGGCCAATAATGACTGAACAAATGCGGTTGTTCAATCTTAGGGAAGAAGAGGGGGAGAACAGAGGATAGACAATGAGGAGCTCGAACTAATGGAAACCAACCTTGATACGTAAATGGAAAAATCTCCTTCCTTTTTGTGATGACTTCTCAGCGGCGACGGTGGCAACGGCAATCTGTTTTAGACGGCAATCTCCTTGCAGCAAACCTGCTCAAGGCAATTAATCAGCGACAATGGATCAAAGATTAGATCTATGTTTTGAAGAAGAGAAACNAGGAAAGATATAGATATTGCAAATGAGAGGGACGAAAGATAAATATATAATAAGTGAGAGGGAGAGATAAGAAGCACGTTGAGAGAGTTGAGGGAAGGGTAAGACAGTCTCTTCATATTCTTTTTTTAAGTGGAAAGATAATTTTATGACGGGAAAAAAAGGAAATGGGAAGATCGTTTTAAGATGGAGGGAGTAATTTTATTTATTATTACTTCTTTCGTCCTTTTAAAAATAATTCTCCTTATTACATTTTCGAGACGTATTAAAAAAGATTTGTCTTTCCAATTTTGTTATGTCAGACTTCTCTCTTTTCAAAGTTTCAAGTTTCCAGCTAGTGTCCAAGCTTCCTCTTGCTTCAGCCAGAGTTCAGCTTGAGGGGGGATGTTAGACAATAATACTAATAGTACTTCTTGTAGTATTGGTTATGACAGTGTTTCATTATTAGTCAGCTTCCTAATCCTATTTGTGGTAGATGTTGTATGTTAGTTAGTTTCCATTCATTATTCCTAGTTGTGTTAGGAGTCTCTCCTATATATACTCTATCATGTACATCATAATTCAAGGAGCAATATTATTATTCCAATATTTCAACATGTTAAACTTTACGCAAGTTGCGATTTTTCTCCTTTTTTTGTCCACTTTCAATCAGTTTTTTTTGGGATACAGGGCGTATTTTCGTACAAAAAAAAGAAGATAAAAAAGTGAAACCGGCCGGCGATTAGTTAGGCTGTTTTCCAATTTCCACCTTGATTTCAATTTTTTTGGATCCCTCCAGAATTCAAACTTTCAAACATTAAAAATGGAGTTTCCCTCCGAAATTTGGGAAGCTTGCCAAGCACATTTGCATTCTATAAAACTGCAACCATCGAAATCCGATCTCCACCACTGGCCGCCGTACGCAGAGCTGCAGGTCGCTCTCCTTAATCTCCAGCAATCATGTCTTCCTCCGCCTCCTCCAAGTACCATGTTTCTAGCCCTATCCCTGCGATTCCCAAGTCCGGCGAAATCCATGTGATAATCGGCCCCATGTTCGCCGGCAAGACCACCGCTCTCCTCCGCCGCATCAAATCCGACTCTAACAGTGGCAGGTTCGCAGTAATTCTCAGCTCTCTCCGTCAATTTCAATCTCAATTCGGTTTTTGAATTCAATCCGATTGATCATTTTCTCTGTTTGAATCGGGAAACAGAAGCGTGGTGATGATAAAGTCGAGCAAGGACACCAGATATGCGGTGGATGAAGTTGTGACGCACGACGGCACCAAGTTCCCCTGCTGGGCGTTGCCGGATCTATCTTCCTTCAAGGACAGATTCGGATCTGAGGCCTATGAAAAGGTTCGCGCCGATTCTCTTCTAGATCTGGCGATTTCGTCTGGTTTTTGTTTAACGATTTCCGGTCTCGTAATCGATGTTCTTCGTGGTTCAGGTGGACGTGATCGGCATCGATGAAGCCCAGTTCTTCGACGACCTGTACGATTTCTGCTGCGAAGCTGCAGATCTGGACGGCAAAACCTTGATTATTGCCGGCCTTGATGGCGATTACTTGAGGTATATTACATTCATGTCCTCTTCATATGACAACTGCGCACATTGCAACCCGAATCGAAACCAAATTGAATTGGCTTTTGACAGGAGGAGATTCGGATCAGTTCTGGACATAATTCCCCTGGCCAACACAGTCCAGAAATTGACAGCGAGGTGTGAGATATGCGGGAAGAGAGCCTTCTTCACCTACAGGAAGATCGACGAGACTAGGACGGAGCTCATAGGTGGGTGTGACATGTACATGCCGCTGTGTCGCCAGCACTATGTGAATGGAATTGGGCCTGCGAAAACTGTGTCTGATGAAGAAGAATCCCACCAGAAGAAGAAGAAGGTGTTGCTGCTGCTGGAATCCTCCATTGAAGTTGCACCATTGTCTTAAAACTTTTGTGTAAATTTATATAATATACTGAGTAGTATTTATTCAGGTGGGGATTTAAAGCTTTGTCTTTGTAATCTTTGATGTTGTGTAATGTGTGTAAAAGCTCTTCCCAAAGTTCTCATAATCAAGAATCAAGATATATGATGCTCTAGCCTCTATGTAATCCTCCCTGACTTATTAAACTTTAACCATTAATTATAAAAAATTTATAGCGAGGATTTAATTACTTTCTCAAAATCAAGGAGATAAAGAATTCCTTCAAACCATCTTAAATCAAGAGGACATAAATGAGATATGTAAAATTCCTTTTTCTTTCAAAAACTTGAAAGGACGGATGAATGTGGAAGGCAGATGTGAAGGGTCAGTACACGGTAAAGCAAGGCTATCGGAAGCTGCTTCTTGATCAAGAGCTGATAGGGTCGCACAACAAAGACTTACGACACTACATCCTGAATATAAATGTGTCCCAAAAGTCTAAAATTCTCTATGGCGGGCTCGGAATGACACCCTCTAAGTGTGCAAATTTGGTGCGAAAGAGAGTGGCAATGTTTGAGGTATGTCAGAGGTGACTTGTAGCAACAGAGACCACACTCCATTGTTAAGTCCAATGTCCTTATGCTTGTCAATGTTTGCATCAAATCAGTGGTTGGAGTAACATAGAAACTCCCTTGGGCATTGGTTAGATGCACTGCGCAGAGGAGTTGATTTGGCTCAGGTGGAACAATTAGTTATGATCTTATGGGAAATTCGGACTAAGAGGAATCAATTAGTATGGCACAAGAGGTATATGCACTCTACAACTTTGGTTTCTACGGCACTCCAGTGGTACACAGAATGGCTTAAAGTTAGAAAGAAATAACACAACTGTGATGATGGAGACCCCTGAATTTCGATGTGTTAAAATGTAACGGGGATGTTAGTTTTGATTTGAGCCAAGGTGTGGGGATGGTGGTGTGTGATGAGCAACATTTTATTGGCGGGTGCATCGTGGAATGGGGGTTGTAGAGAGTGCTTTAATGGCTGAGGCAATGGGGCTTCAGGAGGCTTTGTATTGGCTAAAACTTTTCTTCTCAGTTTGACTTTTCCTCATTTTTAATTTTTGGCTTTGACTTCAAATTTTACCACCCTTAAAAAGATTTTTTGAATTTTTTTTTTGCAATCATTCAAAACATAGGGTTAGAAGATAATTGATGTAAATACATGAGGGTATTAATGTCATTTGTCATCTTTTTTTCTAATGGGAAGGTAGTTTTAGGACGGAGAAAAAGGGAAAGTTGGAAGAAAGTTTTAGGACGGAGGAAGTACTTTTCAAAGCCCTACAAACGGAGGAGGATAACACATCATATTTCTCCGGAGTCGTGAAAGATTGCAAAGTAGTTATGACGGAGTTTCATTCTCTCTCTTGTTCTTTTTTCAAACAAAACAACGAATTAGGTGGCTCATTAGCTAGCTATGGCATCTAACTCTATGTCTGATTGTTTGGAACGAGTCTCTATCCCTTGAAACCTTATTTGTGATATTTTAACACTTGCTATGAATGATTATAAATACCGCTTTCATTTCAAAAAAAAATAGTTTCTCGAATCTAAAACAAGTTACATATTTACTATATATAGGATCAAATTTTATTTATTTTTTCCTCTATTTTTGTTACTAATCTGATAAAATAGTAGTCATTCTACCTCTTATTTTGTAGTTTTTAAATATGCAATATTTATTTCAAAATTCTACCACAATTCTTAAATAAATTGAACTACGTATTGAAAATAAGTTCAGTCAAACATCGTAAACCAAAATACGCTAATTAAATTGGGATGGAGGAAGCATAACATGAATGTAGTACAATCGGATTTACTTTAAGATTTAATTTAGTATAGAAAACTTTTCTATTCTGTATTATTTATTTATGTTTATTTAATTATTACTCAGTCTATCTTATATTTTTCTATTTGATTTTTCACAATTTTCTATATAACACTTTGATCATTTAATATTTTTATTATCATATAAATAAAGAATATAAAAGTATGGTATTTTAAAATTACGTCTCAAAATGAATCTATTAATATTAAATTTGTATTATAATTCAGTATTTTTTTCTATAATTTGTAATCATATTTTAAAAATGTTAATCATAAAAGTCAAAATGAAAAAAAAAAAGAATTGGATGAGGGGAGTAATAGTCAATCTTTCCTTGATAATCGTAAAAAGTATGTAAAAAATGAGTAATACTAGAGTCATAAACAAATAGCTCACAAAATTCACAAACTTGTCTTTTTAATATTTTCCAAGAATTAAGACACACACAAATAATAAAATATATTTTTATTTAAAATCCACAAAAGACAAATTTGTGAAATTTATGCATTATTTGTTTGTGACTAGCATTTTCTTAAAAAATTCTTGGAAGGAAGTAGGACTTAGTTTATAAAAAGAGAAAGTCATTTGACTTAGTTTATACAAATTTGAGAAAAACATTGGATTATTTATCCTATAATATTTTTCGCTCAACAAACATTAACAGAAAATAATTTCATTTGACTTATTATTTTTTGCTAAATTCTTCTAGTCCTAAAATCTATGCTAATTTTATGGATATTAGTGCATTTATAGCATAAAAGAAATGAGCCTTTTCCCCTCAAAAAAATATTCACATGCAAGCCTATAAAAAATGTAAGAAGATCTACAATTTAAATATGGACTTTGGAACCATGTAAACATCCACAAGTTAGTAAAAATGAGACACACATTTGGATGGAGGGAGGGATGGGTGGGGGTTTAGGAGGTAGGACAGGAACCATCAATTTTGTAAATAGTGCATGAGAGGTGCTCCAAAAATGAAATCAATGACACTGTTGGCCATTGTCAACGGGACCCCGCCCTTTCTTGAAACTAATTAACTAACTCATAGTTGCACCATAAAGTGTATCTTCAACACACTTGAAAAATCAGACACAACGACCAACCATGCATCAGTTGTACAAGTACGGGGTATAAAAAATAATGGTATATTTTCGGCTTCCGGTGTTAGGGAGAAAACATGTTTTGACTTTCCAAAAAAAATCATGATGTGATGGTTAAAAGTAGGATGTGATGGACATATTATTAGTAAAAATGTATGATGTGATAGATAGAGTAAGAATTAGCAGAGGTAAAAATAATTTTTTAATAGAAATGAGAAAGACTTTGTGGGACAAAGAAAAAAAATGAGTTTATGGGACGAAGGGAGTACTTTGTAGAGAGTTTGGAGGAAAATATGCTAAAACCCTTTTGAAATACTCTCTCCATCCTGCAAAAAAAACTTTGGGGAAAATCTATGTCCGGGGGCGCACTTTAGGTAGGGGAGAAGATACTGTCACACTATCACATATGGTTTACCCATATTCAAATCCTATTCTAACAATGACCAAACAGAATCACCATGCTAATCATGAAAGTCTTGCATGGAACAGGGACAGAATCACTTTCTTTTACCAAGATTGAGATTATAACTCAATTTAACCTCTCTCAGCCTAGTGTCCGGGCCAGTACTAGGGGACCTAGGGGTTGGGGTATAACCTTTTTTTTTTTAAAACACAACCTATGTGTAAACATTCTCTATATCAAGATAAAGACTAAGCACCCTGTCCAAACTGATTGAACTTGTAACTTTCATATGGACAAAATAATTTATATAAAGACGTACAACACTACCCTGAAAATTCAAAGTTAGTTAACATCAAACCAACGGAAAACAATAAAAGCTCCTGCACCGACCCCCTTTCGCGGGGTTGCGTTCAATACGGTGCACTTATAGACACTATATCAATCAATGCAAACTTGATGAAGAAACTCGCATACTTCAACTCTCAACTCCATAATCATCAAAGTCAACTGATAAAAAAAGGACTATCTAATACAGGGCATTAGTACAAGAGAAAATAGAGAGTTACCAAGGAGGATTAGAGCCGTCTTCTCTAACAGAAGGAGACCTGGAAGCAGCCAAACTACCATCTCTTCCTAACCTTGACAAACTCCTAGGAGTGCCCAACCCAGGACTTGCTCCACGATAGCTAGCCCTCAAAGATTCATCCAAAGAGCGTGATGTCTTGGCAATGGCGTTCCTCACAAACTTCTGTGCAGCTGGAGATAGAGTCCGCCCACTTGGGCTCACACTCCCCCCTCTGACAGGTGAGTGCAATGGTGGTTTCTGAAACATCTTTGACCTCTCCCTGAGTTTCCTTGAAGCTTCACGAGATAAAGAATGAGCCTTGATGTCTCTGGAAGCTGGCATTGGTACGTTATAGTGGGGCCCTTCTCCATTGCCACCGATATCAACAGGGGTGTCTTCTGGTTCCAACCTTAGTGGGGTCCCTTCGATTTCCCCCCAAGTCATGAAGGGGGACCCATCTACACCCGGCGCAGGAGATGGTGTCATAACATAACTGTAACCATTTTCGGCTTTCTTCACGGACTCTATATAGAACTGGTTGGGAGTCTTCCTAAGATCTTCTAGATCATACTTCTTCGATTTGTCCCCACTTCTGTCTATGAAAGGAAGGGGTGTAGCTCCTGGAACAGGTGAATAAAGAACAGCCACCGTATCATCCTCTTTCATACAAGTTTCTGTAGTTTTGCCGTGAAAACGGGTGTTTGGCCTATTAATCTCCTTTGTCATACCCTTAAGCCTTTCAGCCAATTCTTCTTCTGTCAATGGCGCCTCCCCTCTATCAGCCGGATGGTACATAAGAAGATTCTTTGCAGTGTACTTCCACCCTTCCAATGTGGCAATCGGTTGATCCGAAGTTCCATATCCATCTGTGGAGACCTTCTCTCTTTTTGAACCCTCAATAAGATTCACATCCCCCTCCTCCTTTTCACCTCCCATCAAAAACCCGTACCGCTCCTTCCTCTTCCTATTAGTTTTCTCAATAATCTTAAAGAAGCTCTCATTGTCCTCGCTGGTGTACCTTCTCATGAAATCATCTAAGGGCAAGGACGTATCCACCTCACACTCACCATTACCACCATCAGTATTCACAGAAGGGTTACAACTATGACTAGCACTACCGGCCACGCTTGGAGTGGGGGACTTGTAAACATCCTCAAAGGGGGTGATTGAATTTCTGAAAAATGTAGAGCCAGGCGTCCGAGATTTACCTACAGTGTCTGAACCTTGTGCTTTTCCACGGCGGCGCTCGATGATCTTCAGCTGCG